AATACATTTGAAAGTGTCAGGTTTAAGTACCTCAATAGGATCAAGTCTCCGATCTCACTTGGTAAGCTTCTAATGGATACAAACTGGAGGTCCAACACCCTGAGAAACTTGAATCCATGAATCATAGATTTGCTTGGCATATGGACATCATATGTAAGGAGGAAAAGAAGCGACCGTAGTTTAGGGAAAGAGAAACCGAGTGATGTATATTGATGCACGCCTTCATCATCTGTGATACTAAGACGTCGTAGATCAGTTGAATCGCCTTTGTCGCTAATGGATCTGCAAAAATTGAGTTTTCTAGCTTCATAACGAGCCAGGTCTAGCAGTAGATCATGGATTCGAACAGATACCACACTCCCAATCTCATTCCTTCTTCCCACCTGTATCATGCACCTGTTGATAAGCTCTATCAAATACATCTCTGCCAGGTCCTCCATTGTTTGACCCTCCTGGTCTGATCCTACGAAACCCTCGGCAATCCATAAACGCATCAACCTATCAGCGCCGATGTCGTAGTCCTCCGGGAATGCAGCAAAATAAAGAAAGCAAGACTTGAGATGCTGAGGTAGATCATTGTAACTGAGAGCTAATATTTTGTGAGTTTGATCATCGGTTTTGTTAGGTGCGAGAAATACGTTCCAAGGTTTGGCTCCACTCTAAGATGACTAAGTTATCTTTGCAATAATAAAAAAATTTCTAATAATCAAAGGAGGATGGCCAGAAGCAAAGCAACATGTTAAGCTTGGATAGAAGCAGACAAAGGATACACATAGCAGGGAAACATTGCACCAAAGGGTAATTGGACAACTGATCCCTTGAACCGAGGCAAAAATACCTCCAGCTGAAATAAGACGCCAATTAAAGTTGATGAAGAACAATTAGTGCTTTCTTCCAAGTTCATCACCAAGGAACTCCTAGTCTAGGCTACATCATCACCTTAAGTCACCAAGGCTATTGGATGACACTGAGAATGCATGCCCCGTAGTGATGCTTCCTCCGTAGCAACCCGGCTAAAACCACGATCGCCAGAGGTAATCCGCCACATTTTTGGATGATTTTATCCTGAAGATGCTGCAAATGAGGTGGGCAACATGCATTAGAAAATGCTTTTTTGCTGAACAAATTCCAACTTTCCTCCCACTCGAGAAGTTTGGGATGGTGCGGAGGGCTGTCCGGGTCTGCAGTTTCGGCAACATCCATTTTACGTGTGGTGAGCAGTACTCGAGATGCTGTGAATTCTTCGGGAAAGGCTGTATTGATTGTTTCCCAATCTGATACCTTCCAGATATCATCCATCACCACCAGATACCTTGTTCCTTTTAAATGCTCCCTGATCTTGTTCTTCATCTCTCGTTCATCCATTTCCCTAGTTTGACTGTTGTCTATATTCATAGTTTGCTTCATGATATTGGTCAAGAGTTCTCTAGCCGTATACGATCGTGACACAACTATCCATGCCCGACACTGAAAATGATGTTTGACGGCTTGGCTATTGTAGATTTTGTTGGCAAGTGTGGTTTTGCCCGAACCACCCATGCCGACGATGGAAATGACGGCACGTCGTGTTACATGGAGATCACATAGCTGATCCGTGATGACTTGGATATCGTGGTCAAAGCCAACCACATCCTCTGCTACATCATATCTGTACTTATAGACAGAGTTGTTATTATAAGTGAAGAACGAAATTGAAATTATATAGAAACGTTATGAGATTATTAGAAGATCGGTTTTGGGAGAAACAAAACTGAACGAGAATTCTTTTACGAATCACTAAAATCAAAGGGGTTTTCAAGTTATCAAATGGTGCCAATACAAGAAGTTGGGAGCCAATACATTGACAATAGATAGATCATCTGCTTGATTTTTAATTCTTTAAATCTGGGATTACGATGCTTTCCTACGGAGATGGCACATCAAAAATTAACTATTTCTACCAAAACTTATTAAATATTTTCTTGGTATAAAATTTCCTAAATGTTATCTTACATGTGACTTATATTAAGAAAATGTCACCCATTTTAGTAGATGCCGATGTTGAGAATTATATAAATCATCACAAGACATTTGATTTGGTCTTTGTTGTTATGAGTATAATATGGGGTTACATAATAGTTAATGGGCAAATAAAATTATTTTTACTCATAAAAAACAAGGAGATTATCAAACTTATTTTAGATCATGATGAGTAAAAGCATGAATGATAAACATTAAGGATGAAGCATTTCATATTGATAATGTGCAGTATATATTATAGGTGTATCATTATTAATCAGGCTATAGGCATCGATTTTGAATGTATCATTTCAAAAGGCATAGATTTAAAGATACTAATTACTTTTGAGTGTACAAGAAGTTCCGATATGTTCATCCAAAGGCTTATTCTTGAACAATCATGGCTAAAGATAATTTTATATTATGTTGTATATTCAATACATATTTTTTTTTTATGAAAATGACTTTTGATAAGGATATTAATGTTACTATTATTAATACCATTATTTTCATTTAAATTTTGTATTTGTTATATCATGATATATACTATAAACAAAGTATGATTGAGGACACATATTAAAAAGTTGATAATTTATCGATAGTTTTGTTATATACTTCTTTTGCCTCCTTAATTGAAATAAATCTATTTCGTCAAGTTAGATAGATCAATATTCTTTATTCATAATTTTTCTTATCACTAGTTAAATTGATTAGCTTAGATGTTGATCCAAATCTTTTATTTTTTGGGGGATAATTTTTATCTTATTAATGATGATTTCAGGCGTAGTCATGCAGAAATATTTGTGGCTAAAGTACATAAAATAGAAAAAAAAAAAAAAGATCAAAAGAGATGAAGAGTATAATTTTTATGTAACGAAGAGAACGCTTACCTGAGAGTAAGATATGTGTCACTGATGGGGGATAAGGATGAGGATGGAATGCCTTCGATGCCAAGCTCGAATGCATGCTTGGATGTCTCTTGAAGATTCCTGTTGATGCGTTGCAAGCTCTTTGTAAGTTGATGGCGAGCAAGAATTCGGGTTAGGAGCTTAGCAATGTATTTGAGGGTATATTTTTGCCTTGATCGACCCACCCGTAATGTATACTTATCCACCGTATCCTCTATGTCGTAGGCCAAACCTCGAATTTGGTTTACCCACTGTTGTACCAATTCACTATGTTGATCTCTAGGTTTTTGATCCACATCCTTAGAAAAGATAGTAACAATCTTAGTGTTCTCCTAGACACCTCTATCTCATCATCGTGTGACTTCTCTCAAAGCGTACTCACTCAACTTTCCTAACACCAAGTCGACTACTGCACCTGCCATCTATCTCTTCTTCCTTTTCCTTACTCTCTCCTATTTCTCCTTCGTTGGTGGCTATATAAAGCTCACATGTAATGCAACAAGTCATCCAAGACGCTCCTTAAATAAGTTGACATAGCGAATAAAGAGATGATGGAAGGGCATGATGTGAGCGAATCATATGCATATAGTGAGCTATTAGCCGTTCTAGCATGCTTACAGTTGGCCGTGGAGTAGGATGTCGGAGGTGGTGAAACTACTTTCTACTACAATGGAGCAGACTCAGAGACTAATTAATGCCTTTAGATATGTTAAATTCTTAGTAAATTTCTTTCAAGAAGTCAAAGTTTTTTATACTTTTCATGAAGAAAATAGATGGTTGACTATGATAGAAATGAAATAGAAAGAAAAGATTGTATTGAAGAAGCTTTATTGAAGAAATGAAAATGCTTCAATACATTAACATGTCTATACAGATTAGGAGGAAGGATTTTCCAACTCAACAGAATAGAGAGATTTCCTCGTATAGTTGAAAAAATCTTATCTTCTATCAGACTCGATATGCTCAGTTACTCAGATCTTTTTTTTTTTATGAATAGATCACGAATCGGGTCCTCTTTCATCTTTTTCGAGTGCTGCTGATCGTATTCATCTTATCTGGTTACTGTGAATTTTCTTTTGATAAAAAAAAAAATGGTGTAAACCTCATGGACAGAACCAAATTCCAAGTGCAGCGTGATGCCTATCGTGATATGCCCAGCATAAAATGTAATCATCGATCATGAAGCGAATCATATGCCTAGCTTAACATGTACACCCCATGCTTTTCGAACCATGCTTTATGCACATCATTATCTTTCAAGTTGGAACTAATATGAAGTTTAGACTGAGATGACCAACTTTAACCAACTTGTATACACACACACACACACAAACCTTTACTTATCTTATAGGAATGGTTTGAAATATCTTCCTACAAATAAAATATAGAACGATTCATTCCGGTTTGTTCACTCATGTTAAACCAAGTTTGAGCCGAGATCCAAAACCTTTTTTTTTTCCAAAATAAAATTAAACTGAACAAAAATGAAAAATAACCATTAGCATCGGCGGAAACCAAAATATCAAGTTCAAGAGGCTACTACTATCCTATCCAAGTAGAGTGAATACTTTGAGTGTTTGGTAAATAATAGATGAAAACTATATTTCAAATGTGTAATGATGTAAGCGTTGTTTGATAAAATTATATTGTATTTCAAAAGTCTAATGAATATTATGTGACACATTTTTCCTTCTAATATTTTAATTATTTTTCAAAAGTATGTAAATTGATTAATTAATTAAATGAATGTATTAATCTTATAAAATATTTTGTATAATCTTTTAAAATAAATAAATAATTGTGAGAAAAGGGACAACACAAAAATAAAGAGAAGGGATGAGGAAATGAGGGTTATAATTTCTATTATTTAGTGGTAATTTTATGATTTTAGATAATATAATAGGATAATTTAATTTTTTTTT